GGCCCTTTATCGGATCTCATTAATTGCTATCACTTTCTGTCACCCACCAATAATGTTCCCGACCGAGCCCCCATTTCACTTCTTGGAACCAACGTTTCACGCTTACTGTGAGGTTTGCTATGAATTTCTATGGACACACAGACACACATGAACGGACATAGCGGATTATATATAGTAGGATTACTTTCGTTAATAGCTTTATGACTCACCAGTCAGATCGCCCGGCTAACGCCGAGCTCTCCTACTCTTAGGCTCATGCAACTGCTTTAGAGCCTCACTTCTTAGCTCGTGAAAGAAAGGAGCAAAGTAAGGCATAAGCAGGGCGATACTACTGTCTTAGGCATTTATGATGCTCTCATGGTGACTAACCGCTGTCTTCTAATCAAATAAATGTAGAAACGCGCCATATGATCGCAGGGCACTTTCATAATGAAAAGTTCAAAATCTGGTCATGGATAATCGATTACTCTCCTCCCCATCTTATGACAGCCATGGATGCTTCGGTTCCGCAGTCGCTGCGTGCTCCTGTTCAGGCGAGCGTCGGTCGCGCCAATATGGTACCCCTTCACCTCACCTATCCCCAAACTAACCTCAGCTATTCCCCGCTCAGCCACCCTACAGGTCACACTCAGCTGCTACGCGAAGCCCGTGCAATTTTTTTAGGAGCACTAAATGGTTGTGTTATGTTGTGAAGGGTGTTATGACTATCAAAACGCTACCACAATTTGATAATGCAACATTAATCGGTTCAGTTCCGATTGCGGTCGATCCATTTTCTTCTCATCTTATCGCAACCGTAGACGCCTTACCGCCGCAGGCGCTATGTGCTCCTATTCGCGAAATCGCCTCATCTGGTACCCCTTCACCACATCATATCCCACTGACCCTATTTAACCGTCGCCCACTCCCGCACGTGGTATGCAGCCGCCACGTGAGCAGCTGGTGCAACATAGGGACACTACGCCGCCACTGTTCTTACCACCGCCTTGCTCGTGCTCACGTCCAGCTCCCAAGCGAGCAGCTCCTGCAATAGCACAGAGTCTATCACAGTGGTTGGCTTAGATAGCGGGAGCGATTCACAATCCAAACAACTTCTTAGTTCGTTGCTGTAACATGGATTAGCTTGCAGTTTTGCTAGCGGTTCTTGCCGCCTGCTCCTATTCAAGCGTACGCTACGCATCCCCTTACTGTACCCAGTTTGCCCGATTCAATCCATATGCCTCCTTCCCCTGCATGGGCTCAGATCCGACTGAGTACGCGCAAGGGAGTGAGGATGGGAGAAGGGGGTCACTCGATACTAACTCCCACCTTCCTCACCTCACCCCATTCCGTACTCGCCACTCCACCCCACCTTGCCCCTTGCACGCGCTTACGTCCAACTGCGAGCAACCCGTGCAATGGCTCGGAGTGTAGTGGTTTTCTTATATAGTGGAGAGTGTTATCACAACCAAAACAACTTCTTAGTTCGTTACGGTAACATAGATTGGCTTGCAGTTTTGTTAGCGGTTGTTTCCTCATCCCTTGGTGCGCGTTTCTACTGAAACGCGCGCTACGCACCGACACCCAAAATTACTGTATTATAGAATGGAGTGATTATGGCTCATTTTTATTGTGTGCCTCATTTTTATCCTTGATTAACGTCCCCTCTTTTTTGCCGTTTATTTTCGCACATCTTCTATTTTTCGGTGTTGGTTTGTCCGCTCCTGATCTGGTCCGCTGCTACCAGACCAGTAACGCACAATGGGGGGGGGGGTCGTAGCGAGACCCTTTTTTAAGGAGGGGGGTCGTATTTATTTATTTAGCAGAAGTTTATCGCAACGCGATGGCCTGTCCTGGTCCCATTGCAAGTGGTAGCTAAAAGACCTTATAGAACCTTACTGTCTGAGTGGCTCTACCAGTCCAAACGCTTCGTGCATTGGTAGTTCACGGAGCCTTGGCACGAGCATAAATGCCACCTTTTAGTTTGGTGAGAGAACGCGGACAAGCTGACAGACGCATGGCTGCACTCAGCGAGGCCTCCTCAACTATTCTTGCTCGGAAATGTCGGATAGCTTATTGTTACCAAGAAGGTTCAACGCCAGACGATCTACCTTTTCCCACTGTTTATACAGAAGTTATGATGAACAGAGGTGGTGTAATTGCAATGCCGTCACATTCTTCAAGCACGGTTGGGGTTACAACTCACTTAGGCGGGGTTCATTCACTATGAGATAGAGAAATAAGAAATCTTCGAAAAACGAAAAACAGGAAGTGTCTACATTGATGCGAAGAAATGGGGAACTCGTGGGTAAGGGTGGAACGCGACAATCTGCAGAGCGCCGCAATTTCGCGGAATCGGTTTTTATAGTCTCTGTTGCTCTCTTGATTTTGGAGCTGTGATTTCTTCAAAGCTGCCGTTTATGAACGCGGCCTTGCCGTCTTTCTGACCAATCAAGCCTCCGATCTGCCACAGTAAGTGGCACCATAGTCTTCCAAAACAATAAATACATGGGAACTGTCCGCATTCCGTTTAAGCCCAATATTGGCAATGTTGCATTCAAAATGTTACACTGAATCTTAATAGGCAGTGAATGCATGGCCCACCTTCGGGGGCTTGAACTTTTTTTATACGTGAGAGTTCATTCCCCATGCCACATGAATTGTGAGCTCGCTATAGTCAGGGGGGTTTCACAACTTTTTCTCCTTCGGTACACTGACGATAAAAGCACGGTCCGCGATAGCAAGCGTAAGTAGTAGTATCGAAACATGGAAGGGATTTAGTCTCAGCGATTGTACAAGTACAAGTCGAAAAAACGACGTTTGAAATCTAGTCGAGTCAGCTGGATCCACTGAACCTCACGACCCCTTAAGCGACATTTGAGCTTCGATTTTGCGCTGTAATCTAGTAGCATCGTAATTCGCTCTCGTACTTCGGGAAACGGAGGAGGAGCTTCTGCAAAGAGGGGTGGGGGGCCACTAGAGCAACTCAAGGCCTTAGCTGCTTTGCCTCAGAACCATCCCCCGCGAAAATGAAGATACCATTGCGAACTACATTACCTATTCAACCTAATCTTTTACAGTTTGATAGGTCATCGGAGCCAAAATTCCATGTTTTTCAAGTTGTTCTTTAACGTTCAATTCCCTGCTACTCCCGAAATTAGACTCGCCCTTGCTTGCTGATCAAGTTTGCGACGCTGTAACCACCACACACTCGGCGTAATAAGGAAGCCCTCAAAAATATGAAAACATGAAGAACTTGAGAATCGACGGCGGTTGCAAAGGTCGGTCGACCGCTCGATCTCGGTTAGCGCGTGGTTGTCGGAAGAGCGAGAACGGGAAGCTTCCAGGTAATGGGCAGTCCTACACACTAATGATTATTACCTTGTATACTGGAGGTCTCATGCAGTAAAAGAAAATTTAGACTGAAATCTGAATCGAAAGCATAACATGATTTTGATTGTGAATTACTTAGTTATCTTGGTTGCATGTACGCGAATGAGCGAATTCGCGATTAAAAAAATTGACTGAGAGTTTTACAGGGCTGGCGGCTAACCAGAAGTCGGGCTTTTATTCTGTTCGCCACAATCGAATTATCGAAAACGACTTTGAATCTTTTGAAACAAACATCAAATAGTTTTGTTATTCTCAATGTCGAAGCTGAATCTGTGTAAGTGCTTACATAGTGAATGGACAATAGTGTTTTTCATGGCTGCAGGACTCACTCAACTAGTCGTCGTGTGGTTTCCATCTTTTACAGGATACGCAGTAAATAGTCTGCGGTTTTCTTCTGATGTTGTTGTATGTGTACTACTATCTTGTCTTGGTTGCCCATCCTGCGCTGGAGTAAGTGAAGTATTTCGGCTAGCTGCTCCTCCATGTGGTACGTGATCGCCAGTATTGTAAACGTAGAGATGGGAGACGTTAAATGTTCATTCCCTAGAGAAAACTGACAATCTTACTTGTTTATATATCAGAACACAAGCAATGAGTGTCTATAATGTAGTGATACCACTATAGTATCTTCACTCTTCAACAAGTACGTACAAAACTCACCAGCCCTTTTGGGGCAACAGGCGGTGATTCCATGATATGAGCCGTGTGGACACACGGCAGTACCGCCCTCAATCTCTCGATTGTCTTATTCGCACTGCTTGCAGAGCCCTCCTCTATGATTAGCTCTTCTTCGTACATTGAACTTCTTTTGTGAAAGGAAGGTTTCTTCGGTCTAGAATATGCGGAAACACCAAATTTTCCCATTCAAGGAGAAGGTTCACTAGAACCTGGAGAGGAAAACTGATGGAGATCAACGGTTATGATTTGAATCCGAAAGACTAGCCAATCCCGAAATATTCCATTTTGAACCTCCAGGTTGAAATCATATGTAACGTTCTGGGCACCTTGTGATAAAATTTCCATAAAATGACATGCGTAGTCTGCAGGAAACTTCACTGATACCCCTTGAAAATTAACGTGCTCATAGCACTAAGCCTAAACTTTATGGGCAGCTAAACGAAATGAAATATTTCTGACACCTTACATTTTGAAGAATGAAGTCATCATGGCTGCGTGTCACATTTAGACGTTACGGCTTTGATGGTGTGTTGCTGTTTTGAATTAATGTTGTCATGTTTGATCCAGCACAACTCAAAACACTCAAACGGAAATGCAGCACAGAAAGCATACTACGCCGTGTTCGAGCGAAGTCCACAACCACACCCAAAACTTTGGGGCATGAACTGCATGTTTTATCCGCGCAGAACTTTGTAACAGTAGTCTTCAACAAAATTAAGTGATCCTTCACTCTCAGTTTGAGCCAGATCTTCAACTCTCAATGTCCTTGAATTTCTCATGCTAAGCACAGAGACTTAAATCCTTGAAACTCAAGTTTGGAGCGGAGGTGCTTTGTTTCCCGCAAAATTTCTTCTGACATTCTAGAAGGAGTACAGAAACGTGTAAACAAAAGAAAAATGAAATGGATTTATCAGCGTTAGTCACATTGTAACATTGCTCCTCCTGTGAAATCAGTAGAACTCAGGGGGAGTTGTATGAACAAAAGGTGGTCTTCGGTATGAGTCTGAAAATAAGTATAAGGGAAGGACGAAAAGCAAAAGCCGAGATACGTGCGAGAGCAAGAACTACTGTTCCGAAACTTGCACTAACCCAGGATTTCCAGTATTGGGAATCTTCTGATAAGGTACTTTTGCGACGCGTGTGATAGCCCATAGAAGTTTTCCAGGACTCTAAAGCATTAATGGAACAAAAGTGATGAAGAAAATGATTGGGTGCAAAGCACTTACATATAAGCTTCTTGGTGTGGTCCAATTTCTTCACGTCTCACATTTTGAGCGGTACGCCACAGCTAAGAAAGAGCGTAAATTTCTTTTATTTGTCGCACCTGCGAGGCAATACTTACAACTTCAAGGAAGCGTGCAGCGTCCCGGTCCTCGTCTTCAATTTTCCTGTAGATTCTTCTCAATGCCACCATTCTTGTATACAGCGAAGGATTAGATCTCTTTAGTTCTTTGTCACATGCCAGCTAAACAAATCTACAACTCCCATCAGCTTTGCTGACAATTTCTTATAATATTTTGTTTCGTCTCACTGCAACACATCAAATTTCTGCCTTTTTCGTAGGGCGTGACGAAAAGCAGTAATTTTGCCGTGACCTCACGCGACTCCCCTGCACTCTCTCTGTCTCGCACGGAGCGTTTCTCTCTCGCACGGAGCCTTCTGTCAAGTCGCCTTCTTTATAGGGCATTTTGGGGTTGCTCCACGATGGGTCCGACCGCCGCTACAATTACTGAGTATCAGTTCTTGCACAGAAAATGAATTTTGAGCCACATCCTGGCCTGATCGACAGTCTAGCGCTTTACCTCCCCGTTTAGCCGCCCGGCCAAACCGTCCTTCCTCGTAGCTGCTGCTGTGAAAGCTCAGTTCTGCTCCCCACATTCTTCGCCCAGTACGCCATCTACCGCAGTGTTCGTACAGGTATCACGTCGTCATGAGAATCAAAGTATACCGCCACATTAAAAACAGTGTAACCCCGTCACCCTTTTCCTGTCCTGTATTGATCATGTAACAACCTTTTCTGTCGTGCTTCACAATACAGATGATGAAATCTCAGAGACTCTGCTTCGTCTGATCTCATGGTGCTCAGATCCCTCCAAATCATATCGCCCGCGAACCAGAGTTATGAATACCCGGCCGTCTTCAGCGCCTAACTTTTTGGCTCTTCGCTTTTCGGCTCTGATCCACTCCTCGTCCCTGGTCCTAATATTTTGCTGGTCGGCTATCATCGCTTATCCTCTCTCTATACGATGCCAGGACTCGTCCTCTGCTGCAGCCATCCTATTCACAGTTTTTCTTCTATACCTCGATTATTATGAGCTTCACTTCTAATGCCTTCCGGTGCATTCATAGTGTTCATTCTACTTGGTTAAATTTTTGATGAAACTTTCCCTATAAAGTTGATGGTACCATACTTTGTCCAAGGCGTATTTTGTTAGGTGGGTTCCTGTCTCCGGTCGAAGCCACTGCGGAGCAAGAGAAACCACACTATCTCCTTAGCAACTACGGTGGCACGGACTCCCCGTCATGAGCAAGTTCGTAGAACGATCCCAGTAATATCGATTCCCATACCTTTTGACTTCCAATTATAAGTAATAAGTATTGACTGACAGAGGGTGCAAGGCAAAACGCATTCAGATATGAGCGTAATATGTGTCAGCACGTTAACTGTTTATCACAAGCAAGGTATTTGTATTAACCGGGCAACATTTAGTTAGCTGGTTCGTTGGGGCAACAGGACCGCTGTAGCCCTACCTACTGCAAGGCAAAACCCCGAGTAGCGCTGCTAAGCCCTTAGCATCACCCCTTCCAGAACCGTTCCGCGGTTGGGCTTCGGCAAGAGCCATCAGTGCACAAGTGCCCCT